TCCACCTCGCCTCCTCACGCCCCCACCCTCGACCCCTCGTTCCCCTCCTACGCCTCCCTCCCACCACGTCGTCCCCCTCGTCGCCCCCACCCCTCCAATCCACTGCCCTCAGTCCCTGCCCCTGTTCCAACAGCCTCCCCCACAGTCCCTCCCCTCCCCCCCATCATCTCACCCTGCATGGATGTGGAAATCTGTCCCGGATTCCAGGCTGTCGTTAGCCCCTGGGGCAAAAGATCAGCAGAGGTTTCCAAAGGGAAGTTTGCAGCCTTTGCTCAGACCCAAACATTTTCACTTAAAAAAATAAATAAATAAATACCATAACCCACCCTGACACCCATCTGCTCTGTCCAGATTTGCAGTTATCCCTGTTGAGGCCAAAGTGGTTTGAAAAATTAAAAATCCTTGACACCATTGTGTTGCTTCCCCCTATGTTGCTCGTTAATCTGATGGGCCTGCCGATAATGAATAAAGATGAATGCTCTGGGAGCAATGTGTCAGGCAGACAGTTTGTGAAGTAGGAATGTGAATGCTGAAGCTCTCACAAAATGCAGAGGCTTTTCTTAACCTAAGAACTGAAAAAGAGCCAGATACCCTGCATGGGTTTGAAAGAGCCTAGCGACTGACTAGAGCAGCATCAGGTTTGAAGTGACGAGGAGGGTCTGTGTCATGAAGTCTGCATTTCCACTGAGGACTCTTCCATTGCTAGGGTAGCGCTGGCGCAGGTCTGCCACCCGGCACAGCAATGCTGAGAGGTGCCAGTGTAGACCCAACCCACTGCCCTCAGCCCCCACCCTGACCCTGTTCCCTTAGCCTCCCCCGCAGTCCCCCCTGTACCTCCCACCCCAAACCCACTGCCCTCAGTCCCTACTCCACCCCAAATCTCTTCTTCAGCCTCTCCCGTCATTCCACCCCATCGCTCCCCCTGCTGTCCCACCCTGTCAACTTCCCCCCATTCCAATCCTGCTCCCCTCTGTCTCATCCCCTCCAGACCCTGTCCCTCTCCCAAATCCCCCGACCCTCCCCAGCCCAGCCCCATTGTCTCCCCCGCCCCGCCCTACACAGCTCTCTACCCTGTCCCATTGATGCTCCCCTCAGCTCCTACCCTGCTCCCCCCATCCCAGCCCTGTCCCATCCCCTTCAGCCCCCCTGACTCCCCCAGTCCCAGTCCTGTCCCCCCTCAGTTCCTCCACCCTGCTTCCCCTGATCCATCCCCACACATCCACCAACTTCCTCGACCTCCCTCCCCGAATCCCACTGCCTGGACTCACCCCCGTGCCGCTCAGGACATGCAGGAAAAAGCAGCAATGGGCTTCAATCGTAGCAAGAGAGATGTAGGTTAGACATTAGGGAAA